ATCTGGTTTCAAAACCTCGACCGTCAGTCTTACAAGGTACAACGAGGTCACTTCGCTGTGTTCTCTGCCTGGTAATGCAGCCTGGGGCTCGCCGACAGTGCAGTACTAACGACAAACTATGTTGAATGAAGAGAGGGCTCACTTGACGCCGGCCGCAGCCTAATTGACAAGTCACATTCGTCCATGTCTCTGGATCTCGCGACCGTCATGGAAGGAACGGAAACGCTACAGAACCGTTTCCGCGTTGATCCGCCCCTTCTTGGAAACGATGCGCAGTCATCAACGAAGTTCGTTCGTTCCTTGAACTGCTTATACCGAAAACATTATTTGATGCCATAGATGCGTACGCCTGCTAAACCTTTCTTCGCCAAGACAGAGCGACAGGCCACAAACCTGAACGTGGATCTAGATGCCAGCGACCCCCGGTACAATGTGCTCAGTCCAACGGGGGAAAGCAACCGGCTTCAACGCGTCGCTGGATCTGAGCATCGTGAGTTATCACCCATCTGTTCCATTTTAGCGTCAGCGGCACGAACCGCACTCGCATTGCCAGAGCCCGCGTCGGTAACATCGACCACCCAGGTGCGAAGGCCTTTCGGCCCGTTACAAACAACCCCGTCCCAAGGCCCGCAGGATTGGGTCGTCCCAACTCATGTCAAGCGTCACCTGTACGTGGAAGACAGCTTGACCGATTAAAGCCGATCCCCTGGCGTGGAGGGAGGCAAGTGAGTGACTTGTTTGTTTGACACGGTGTCAACGCACATGCCCTGCAAGCGTCAACAAGGATCGTCGACACACTGCGAGCGTGTCTGCGGCCGCTTCTGCGGCCTCAGCCCAGCACTGTGGGTTAGACAGATTTAGGCGCGGGACAACTGGACCAGCCGAGGACCGTAGCAGCACTGATTGGCGAACCATGGCACCACCTGTTGGCTGGGCCTGGCGCATCTGGTTGCTTGTGTTGGAAACTCTCATCCCCAAACTGCAGCCACTGCGGCATGAGCGAGCTTTGAGCACGCAAAACAGTCAATGGCGTCACAGTGCCTATGTACATGTATGCACGATACAGACGACCGGCTGACAGCAGAATCATCCTCCAAGCAAACTCACCTGTTCACCGCGATACTCCTGCCCCCCACTCCCCCCTCGAACTGAAAACCCGCCATGAGCGTACCGAGGCATATAGCAAGTAGCGATGAAGGAAAATAGGCCTAGAACTTGGGCTCGATGCTTGTGTATCAAGCCACTCTGACAGAATCGGTGGGTACGGTTTCGTGTCAAGGAGAAGCCCGCCGCCACGCAAACGTCTGACTGAGTCCCGAGCACGGAGCTGTCAGATGAAGAGAGCCGCCAACGAACAAGTGCGTGCCATGTCTCACACGGATGCAAGACCTGCTGTCTCCCCCCTTGGCGTCATGATGTCGGGGCTCCCTGGGCGACGGCGACGGCGTCAAGCGGCGGGGGCAGTAGGGAAGGTAGGGAGCGGCTCGCATGCCATGATTGATGGTGTTTTGCCTGGTTACGGCAGGCCAAACAGGGAAGAAGCAAGCGGAAGATTGACAGGAACAGCACCAACAGCATTTTGGCTCCGTCTTTGCCCTCGAGCGGCGCCTGTCGACCTGAATGCACCCGATTGCTTTTGGTGTTGCTTACTCAGATCCAGGCGAAAGCGGACAAGGGAGGGAGCGTCGTGTGACGTGACAGCGACCTGGACTGACCTGACAGGTACACATGGCCTGGAAGCCCTGATAAACGGCAAAAGACGATTGCTATAATTGCAAAGCACACGGAGTAGCCCAACCAATGGCCAAGCAAGAATGAGGGCCGGACAAACAACCGTTGATGCATGGTATTGCTTTTGCGCCTGGTATTGGTGCTGGACAGGGCTTCGCTGGATGAGCGCACACACTGCTGGGCCGTGCGAGTCGTCTTCTCCCTTCAGCGTGCCCTAGGCATGCAGACCTCGTATTTCTCCTTGTACAGTGTCGACGATATTTGGATTGCTGTTTATTCTGGGATCAGGTGGGCAACCTTGCGAACTTGCTTTGTCTGTTGCCTCCCATGCGCTCTACGGGGTTGCGGAAGCTCGCAGATTTGGTTTTCGTGGCACATGAGCACTGGAGTCACGGCGCACCCCCCTGGGGTGGCTCACAGCGAGCGAAAGCTTAGTGACGCACACCAGCTACTTGTTACCCCCTCCCGTGGCCTGTTCAGCGCGCGCCAGAGCCCCCAAGACCGCCGCATACGGCCTGGTGACGGTACCTTAGCCTGCCGGGCCTGGTTTGGGCCGTCACGGTGGGAAGGGATACTCCCGCATGGTCGCGACAGCGATTGGGCGGCACGACATCATCTGTCCGCCCTTCCCATTCCCGCAGTAGTCCCCGTCCACGCATCCGTTCTTCTAAGAGCGAGCACGGAGAGACTAGGGCAAGGCGAGACAAGGCGGAGAGACAAGGTCCAAGGGTAAGCATGGGCTTCGGGAAGCCAGCAACAAAGACAAGGACGGCTCGAGGCTGACGCGCAAACTGTACTGTACAGTCTGACGTCCCAGCGTCAAGGCACGGTTGCGACAATCAGTGTTCGGCTTCGACTGAGCCAAGCCCGGTGTGGCGTGAAGAAGCAGCTTTGTTCACAAGCCGACTCGAGTCGAGTCGGCCGGGCCACGACGGCTTGCTCCGGGTCGAACAAAAAAAAGACACCAAAAAAAAAACTCGGATCCATTGTTGAGGAGGAGTGGGTGGACAGCCTGACGGACGAACAGGTAGGCAAAGCACACTTACTGGCCACCACGTCGAAGTGACTGAAGGCCGACAGCAGCCAGTGAGTGTACGCCATCACGCCTCCACCTGG